TTGTTCCAAGTAGAAAATAATTTAATAATTTCTGATTAACCCCAGCTAATCAGGCAGGCATTGGGATCCAGCTGCTGTGTAAGTCCAGAACTCCATAAAATCTGGTTATATTTCCATTTATCTCAGTGTGGGAGCAGCTCTGACCTGAAAAGCTGACTTCCTTGTGTGTTTGTGAGTTAGCTGACAAACCTTCCCGCTTTCAATCCCATCCAGTGGGAAAGGTCACCATGGAAAGCTGGCAGGTTTTGGGGTATGAATGAAAAAGAAGAAATATTTACTCCATTTTTCTTAGGGGACTGTCTTTGTTTCTTCTTCTCCTACCTTTCATCCCCCAAATATTCCCCTGAAGTATTTATTCTGCTTTCTTAAGGGCTAATCTGTGTTGGTTCTCCTTGCATTCCTCCAGAACCTTCTCCTACCTTTTATCCCCCAAGCCTTTTCTCTGGGGGGTGTCCCATGGGCTGAGCTGTTCCATTTCCAGGGAGGAACACTGGAAATGCAGCTCCAGCATTCCAAGTGAACCTTGAGCAGCTTCCTGCATGGAATCACAAAAGAATTAAGGTTGGAAAAGACCTTTAGGGCCATCAAATGCAAGTGACTGCTGCAGCACCGCTGAGGCCACCACTCAGCCACGTCCCCGCGTCCCCAAGTGCCACATCCACAGGGTTTTTGAGTTTCAAGGAAGTCCTAAAGTGCTGCAGCCTTTAGAGCTGTGCCTGCAGTGGGGATGTTTGGAATTGGGGTGTTTCTGCCCAGCTCAAAGCACCCACTCCTGTGTTTTTGTGCCGTTTCCTCTCTGACTGAGCCCGTTGCTCAGGGCAGGGATCAGCCCCGTGACCCCCTGGCCCTGCATGGCCAGAGGATGAACCCAGGGCCATTCAGAGGGGATTCATCTGTGCTGCCCCACAAATAACTGCATTTACTCACACAGGGGCTTTTTATTTAAATACATTCCCCCTCTTTGTCAGAGAGAGGAATTGCAATTAAGATTTGATTGTGTGATTAACTCCCTCTATTTAGAGCATTACTGGTGAATCTTTTCCTTTCTGAAACCTTTTAAAATCTGAATCTGAAACCTTTTAAAAGATATTTGGCAGTGGGGAAGTTGGTAATCGTTACTTTTCATTTAAAATTCAGGGCATGATATGTGAAGCTGTGTTTATGAGGAGGGTACACGGTCCTGTCATTTTCTACTTGCTTAAAAGCTCCATAAGTGGTTGAGGAAGCTCCCATCCTGAGGAGAAGAAAGGGCTCATTAAAAAGATTAGCTCATAGAGAACAAATTAAACTTCAGTGCCCTGCATAAAGATTATAATAACTGTAATGATAAATGAATTAATAATGCATTAAAGGAAAATTCCTCCAGTCAGCTTGTCACAGGCTTATCCTTGAAAATTGACTTTAGTGAGGTGTGTCACATGAGCTAATGACCTTAACTGATGGATTTGGGTTTTTTCCACACTCCAAAATCCACTCAAACCCATATTTCTGAATTTTTGACAGTTAGTTTGCTGGATAGACAAGTAGTTGGGCCATGTGGTGCTGCAAGTTCACAGAATCACAAAATCACAGAATAATGAGGTTGGAAGAGACCTCTAAAATCATCAACCAACCTATGCCCTAACACCACAACTAGACTATAGCACCAATGCCATGTCCAGTCTTTTTTTAAACTTATCCAGAGATGGTGATTCCACCACCTCCCTAGGAAGACAATTCCAGTATTTTATTATTCTTTCAGTGAATGTTTTTTTTTCCTAATATCCAACCTAAACCTTCCCTGATGTAGCTTGAGACTGTATCCTCTTGTTCTGCCAGTTGGGGAGGAAGCTTTGGTTTTAACCTCAGGTCATCAGAAACCCTGAGCTCTTGGAAGGGATAAAAATTGTCAATCCAGTGCTGGAGGCTGCACAGCTGCACCAGAGGTGAACACCTTGGGCTGATGTGGGATACAGAATTTATATGGAACTGACAGAGAGTAGGTTTAGATCAAATATGAGGAAGAAATTCCTCCCTGTGAGGGTGGGCAGGCCTTGGCACAGGTTACCCAGGGCAGCCCTGGATCCCTGGCAGTGCCCAAGGCCAAGTTGGATGGGGCTTGGAGCAGCCTGGGACAGTGGAAGGTGTCCCTGCCATGGCAGGGGTGGAATGAGTTGGGCTTTGAAGTTCTTCCAGTCCAAACCAGCCTGAGATTCCATCTGGGGGGAATTCCATAAATCTGAAGGTTTTGTTCCCACTGTTATAAATGTGGGATCTTGAGGATTTAGGAATTAGTCACCAAATTCAGCACTGAAATAAGAGGCATCCATAGGTGTTGAGTTGAGGAATTGTAGGTGCTGAGGCATCTCTAGGCAGCAGAGAAGTGAGTTTGGGGATTTCTGCTGTCTCCCCTGGGTAAGGGCTGAGTTTCTCATGGTTATTACACTGGGGAAAAATTGAATTAAGGGAATTGATTATCCAGACATGGTAAGCCAAAGCTGGTTGTAAAATGCATCTTTAGGCAGCTGGGTACCTTTAAAATTAATCCATTATTCACTCCTGAAACCCAAACCTGCTCCTCTAAACCCAGGCACTGTTGAAGATGGAGTTCATGTGAGTGAGCCATGAGTTGGCTAAATTTTAGAATCTTGAAATAATTGAGGCTGGAAGGGACTGGGGAGGTTCAAAAAGGAATCTGTGGGTTCCAGAGATCATGGGGAACACTTGCCCTGTTCCTGCAGAATCATGGAGTGGTTTGGGTTTGAAAGACCTCAAAGATCATCTGATTGATATTTTTCACCAGCCCAGATTTCTCAATTTATAATTATTATGCCACACTGGTGCTTTTATGTGTCCTCCTTAGTTACACCTGCACACAGGTATTTGTAGGTGTTGATTTAACACTGAGCTTTGCCTATGAAAGATATGAAAGCAAATTCCTTCTGGGATGCTTTTCCTTTTCTTTTTTTTTTTTTTTTTATTATTTGAAAATAATTGAAGATGCATCTCTAGTGCTTTGTTGCTTTTATTGGAAGGGTATTTTTAATAAAAATCTCATTCAGCATAAAAAGGACAACATCAATGGGGCTCTTATCAGTGCTTTGCATCATGTTAATACCAGAGCCAGCAATGAGTAGTGCAGGTATTATACCAGAACAAAGGAAATTATTCCAGGGATTTTATCTGAGAATACTTTGAGTTTGCTTGTCAAGCCATGCAATATGTGCTCTTCTTTGTTTGCTGGCTGGTGTCGGAGCAGCTGAGCAGTTGCTGGAGTTTGCACAGGGATTCTTTTCTCTCCCTGCACTGGTTTGCTTTGGCACATCATTTGATCCACGCCGGGAAAAATAGTGAGATATCAAATAAAAAGTGATGCATTAATACCTGGAACTGTTACAGCTCAGAGCTGTGCTGCCTCTGCACATTTGAAGTGGTCACTGAGCAGTGAATTGTGAATTTTGGAGCAGGGGCAGCCCGGGGCTGGCGGTGGAGAAGGAGAGAAGCACAGCTCTGCGTGCTGGGCTGGATCTGCTCCTCCAGCCTCCACTGCTGCTCTCGGGGAGCACAGGGAGCTGAATGCTGGTTGGAACTCAAAATGTCCCTCAGACATTTTTGGATGTTCTGGGTCCAGGTCAGAAGCATTTGAGACCCTGGCAGGCAGCTGGACACAGCTGTGATTTTGGGTTTGATCCATGGAATGATTTACCAACCTTGAAGGAAAAACAAGAAGTCACAAAAGTTTAGATATTACAGTAGAAGTAGTCACAAAGTAGAGGGAAGGATTTTTGAGTG